GGTGAAACAGCATACCCCGTCCCAAGTTTCTGTCGGTTTAGACATGTTAGACAGGTCACTTGTATTCCCTTGGCAAATTCATTTATACGGAATAGACACATATGATAAAAAAAAATTAAACTACATATTAATATTTTTTAAACTGGTTGAACATCAAAATGAAAAAAGTTGAAAACTAAATAACTCTGAAAGCACCCATTTTTCCCATTTGCAATTTATGTCCTCCACAAGATTGCTCGTAAAGGTTGATGTTACGAGTCTGACGTGACTCCTGCACAGATGGCAACATATTTATATAATTAAATCTGAAATTTCCAGTTGATTTAAAAAAAGAATTCACCACCTACCAAGTACCATTATAATAAAAGTCTGTTAACCAATAAAAGAAACTACCTGGCCTTACAATCAAAATAAAACATTCACACATACAAATTTATGTCCAAGCAACACATCTAACAAATGTTAATGTAGGTCCTATTTGAAAGCATGTTGTTTGTCAGAATACTTCTAGGCTGTAGCATGTTAAACCACTGTTTCCTTTTCCCGACAAAAAGCTGCACAAGTAAAAAAGATTAGAGTCAACTGTTCACCTTAGAGATTATCATATTTCATGGATTAAAACCAGGAAGTCAATGAATAATGGCCAGGAATTACACAAAAAATCAAAGAATTTTTTCAAAAGGAACTATTTGGTCATAATGAAACTCTCAAGATACTCAAGCAGGAATAACTTCTGTTTCTGAGATAAAGTGTGGAAGGGTGAAATAAACTTGTTTGCTTGTCTCAGGGCAAGAGATCTATCAAAGCCTACACATCTGGATCTTGTCTACCGCTCAGTCTCTGAATATATATAAGTTTGGTAGTAACAAACCAACAGATTTAAATTGAAAAAGAGCCCCAGGGAGATTAAGAACCTTAGGTAATCTATACTAGCTTTATTTAGCATTGCAGGAAGGTGGTACAGGGACTGTGAGACAGACTAATCTGGACCTGAAAGCTACTGGTCTGGAGGTCATGTTGACCTGAAGCTACTGGTCTGGAGGTCATGTTGACCTGAAAGCTACTGGTCTGGAGGTTTATAGTGTATAGACAGTAAATTTCAACTGGAGTATCATATTTTGTGGGCATGTGTAGTAAACACTGGACTGCTTTGAAGTTAGGGCTGTAGCAATACAATTTGTTATGACTTACATGTCTCAATAGGAAGGCTGGGATATGATACACAATACAACATATTCATCGAAGGAAACAGAATCTAAAACATACCTGCGGAGTTTTGAAATTAGGCGAGGTCCTGAGGTCTTTGAGATTTGCTCCTACAGCACCTCAATCTTGGGACTTGTTAGTCTTTTAGTTTTAACATTCTGGTTATGGCTAGGAACCTTTGACATTTATGTTTAACTAAACAGTACCTTGTACTGGGACCATATATCTTAAATATCAAAAATTACCAGCCTTCCTACTAGGGCTGCAACAATTCAGGTCGATTCATCAAAAATCCAATCTGACAACATAGCTTCGATTTTCAGACAACCATTATCACTAATTCGATTCGATATTTGAATACCTATTGAGATTATTTCCACACAGCGATAACCCAATTTTAACTCCAACCCGAGCAGTTTCGATCGCTGGAATAAGGCAAAACGTAATTGGTTGACACCAGACTCATTATGCAATAAGAATTGTTGATAGTAGATATTGCCAAGCTGACGATGGATTTTGCGCCAAAAAAGCCGACTCTGGGAGTCAAATGAAATCTGATGCTTTTACTTGTATGACAAATCGAATCGAAAATGATCGAATCGAGGGTCCAATATCGGAATTCAAATTGAGGTTTGGGTGAATCATTGCAGCCCTACTTCCTACCCCAGTCATAGAGCTGCTGTAACAACAATGTTTCTGTGTGATCACATTCTGCCTGTAGTAGGTATTTGTGTTCTACTATGTTGTCAGTAACTTGTGAGTGAGTGAGTTTAGTTTTACCCCGCTTTTAGCAATATTCCAGCTATATCACGGCAGGGGACACCAGAAATGGGCTTCACATATTGTACCCATGTGGGGAATCGAACCCGGGTCTTCGATGTGACGAGTGAACGATTAAACACTACGCTACCCCACCGCCCCTCAGTAACTTGTGAACAAGACCATCTGGCAAAATCACAAGTCAGAGCATAATTACCTATTAGTGTCTATTTACCTATTAGCACCTATTACCGATAAAAACCATTTATGCCTGGAATTGCTCCTGGCTTCCCTTTGTTCATTACAGTGACGATTACTACTAGCTTCCCTTGTTAAAAGGACACCTTTCTTATCTTATCCCTTTTGCGTTTCAAATGTACATATGTAGCTCTCTGCTTCCTGACTTTCCCAATACAACTTCTGGATAAATTTCAAAATTCAAAATTCAAACAAATTCAATTATGCAACCCTAACTTCCCCTTCTGGTTGCCATAACTTTCGGTCAAATCACCCCTCTATCAATCAAACACTAAATGGCCTAAAAGGCCTGTGTGCCAAATACACATTATGGCAGAGAGCGCAGTTAAATTTCCAAATCATTATCTTTCACTGACCTGATGGAGTAAGAATATACTACAACACAGTGTGTTCCTCATGTTACTGGAGTTGACATCCATAAAATATCCCCCTTAATGTTTATCTGTGACTTTTAAAGGCCATTCAAAGAGAAGACAGAACTTATACCTTGGTAATGGTTACTTTATACATGTATCTTGCACCCACTGCAGACAAGAAATAGATATGTAATAAAAGTTGGAAACCATCCATCACAAAAATTGTGAAAATTTAATACACATTGAAAAGCAAATGTAATCTGGTACTAAACATGCCAAAGTTACTCTCAACCGAACACTTAGTAGACTATTTGCAATTCTAATCAGTTCAATATTAGCATGATTATTAATTATGCAAGAAATGAATTAAACTTAATCCATATATGCTGCTGATTTGCTACACACATGGAGCGACAATGCTCTTTCTACTTCCTTCACACCCTGATAAAACTGCTACAATGAAATATTGTCAAGTTCTGGATGAATGCATTTATACCACCTGTTCCAAACTGAAATAACCGATAGACAGACTAATCTAATCAAGGAAATTGGTCTTAAACGTGATGAAGACATATTATCAGTTTTTCGCATCCCGGGTGACATAAGGATATACTAACACGCCTCAATTCCCAGATCTTTCCAACCTTTTCATGACATAAACGTATCCATTCCTCGGAACAGGAATCGGATTTCAAGAATTAGGCATAACAATTTCATTTCAGTTTTGCCCAGATAGAAAATATGCCACACCAAAATAAATAAAATTAAATGCTGAAGCAACACTGAGAGCAGGCGTGTCCAGAAACTATCCCACATCCATGTGATCAGAGCGATGCAGTGTTAGATTTGAGGAACTTGATGTGAAATGAGAACCCAGTTGCACAAGACAAAACCAGGTTGCTCTGTAGTCAATCAAACTTATCGAAGTAGAAATCTAGGCTGCACTGTTGCTCCCGTCACCTTAATCAACTGTGTATTGCTGTAAAACTTATCTGATAAATGTACACATAATCTTAAGACCCTAAACTCGAGGAAGTCAAGTCCATGAAACCATGACAGACTGTAAATACTAGAGACTAGTATGCAGTATAGTGAGTGAGTCAGTTTAGTTTTACGCCACACTCAGCAATATTCCAGCTATATGGTGGAGGTCTGTAAATAATCAAGTCTGGATCAGACAATCCAGTGATCAACAACATGAACATCGATCTACGCAACTGGGATACAATGACAAGTGTCAACCCAGTCAGCCAGCCTGACCACCCGATCCCGTTAGTCGCCTCTTACGACAAGCATGGGTTACTGAAGATCAATTCTAACCCGGATCTTCACGGGTAGTAATACCGGTAAGTAGTATGCAGTATAAAGGCATGTATTCAAAGATCATCCTTGTGTGGGCATGTAAAGTTAGATACAAATCTGAAAATCTTCGACATGCAGTTGTTTCATGTAGACATAATATTAGGTTGCATTTTACAATATCAGGTTGCACTTTCGCATGTTCAAAAAAGCTTAACAAGCCCTGCAATGCAAAAAACATTCTCAGTATGATGTTTTACTGTTGACGAAAGGCCAGCAAGTTCAGTACACTAAGCAGTGATAGACACGAGCCACCTGGCCCTTGTCTTCTTTTCACAAAGTGATCCTAGCATTAAGTCAATGGATACAAGAACGCCCATCCATATGGATAAACATGGTGTAACTGTGTACATAGTTAATATTCCAGATGAATAACAGCAACCTATGAACAACTAAGTCAAGGTCAAGAAAACCAATGGTTGAAAACATGAACCATTCCACCATCAGGATATGATGACACTCAGCCATGACACATTGTACCGGGGACCTCATCAGCCCTTACATCCATGAAGATCCAGGTTACAATTAGTATTCAGTAACCCATGATTGTTGTAAGAGTGAGTGAGTGAGTATGGTTTACGCCGCTTTTAGCAATTTTAGCAATATTCAAGCAATATCACGGCGGAGGACACCAGAAATGGGCTTCACACATTGTGCCAATGTGGGATTCGAACCCGGTCTTCGGTCGCGGACGACAATTTAACACTTTAACCACTATGCTACCCCAGCACCCCGCTTGTCGTAAGAGGCGACCAACGGGATCGGGTGGTCGGACTCGCTGACTTGGTTGACACGTCATCGTATCCCAATTAAGTACATCGATGTTCATGATGTTGATCACTGGACTGTCTGGTCCCGACTCGATTATTTACAGACCGCCGCCATATAGCTGGAATGTTGTCAAGTGTGGTGTTAAACTAAACTCACCCACTCTTCAGCCATTAAAGTTAAATTTCCCCAGCAGTGTCATTTCTAGAGCAAGTCCCTTGCTCCTGATATTGTCCTGATTACAAGTGCATTGTTCAATCAGTAACCAGTGTACAGACGTAAGGAAAGACTTACCTATAAGTGATACAATGACCAGTACAATCATCCTGACTAGACTGGTCTCTTCCTTTGCTGAAACATCAACCAAAAATACATTATGAATACTTGTAAACAAACAGGGTCCACAAAGCGTTCGTAAAGTTACGACCTGTTGTAACTCTATTAGGGATGTCACGATACATGAAGTTTCATGAATTGATACCCATCACGATTCGACACGCATCACGATACCCATGTCACGATTCGACACGTATCACAATACCTATGTCACGATTCGCATTATTGCGTGAAATTTAGTTACATTTAGTTACATTTTGAACATTAATATTTTATATTTTATAACTGTCCATGAAAAGATCAACATTTTTTTCCCTCAGAAATTAAAAAAGTTCTAATTTCCCATCTTTGTGCATAAAAAATAATCATTTATAACTCTCATAACATACAAAAACATGATAAAATTGAAAAATGTAAACGATACATAAACATATTTAAACCAATACTTTCAAAACTAAATATCGATACAGTTTTGAATGTATCGAAAATTGTATCGTCTTAGAAAAAGTATTGATGCATCGGGGCATCCCTAAACTCTATGGTTAATCATAGGTTTACGAATGTTTAGCACTACGAACGTTTTGTGGATCGGAAGCCAGCACAACAACAATATACCGTTTATCTAGCCTGTATTTCAGGCATACGCACACTTATAGCTTTTAAACACGTGTCATTAAAGTTTACTCATAAACATCTCCAAAATTATCAGCAGCTCAAGAATATATGTCCATGGCCAATCAGTTTGATAACCAGGGACTTATCAAAGACTTGAAAGACTGTTCTTTAAAGTCCTTAATTTTTCAAATATGGGGTATTTAAATATTCCATTCAATGAAAAACTTAACATCAAAGGCATCTTCCAGTTTATTGGTCTTGTTATCAGTGAAACGCAAGTCGCCTCTATATAACCAATAACATTACATATCGCTATAACAACATATCTTTAATTTTTCATTCCAATTTGGAACTTTTTACTGACATTTGCTTCAGTTTAGGGGCCAAATATTGACCTCAGGCAGGTCTAAATAAATCTCTGTTACCCCAAAATAGCCTTCACATTAAAAAACAATGAAGTCTTCACAAAATCAATGTTAACCTGTGAAAACCTGTCCCTACTCCATGTACATGGCTCTACAATGACAACAAATTTTAAAATCCTGCTCACAATATTTTAAAATCATACTGCATCCAAAATATTTCAACATATTTCCAAGTTTAATTACAAAACTACATATACCGGTATATTCTTTGGTCTGAATCTAAGAGGTGACCAACAGCATTGGGGAGTCTGGATCCTTTCCCAATTGCGTAGATTGATGCTCATGCTGTTGATCACTGGATTGTCTGGTCCAGCCTCGATTATTTACAGACTGCCGCCGTATAGCTGGAATATTGCTGAGTGTGGCATTAAACAGCAAACCAACCAACCACCTTAACTGTCTACTCAATACTGAGTCTATCCATGTAACAGAACCTGTAGTTCTGGTTTTCTGATGGATCTTTAACAACCACTGATTCTGTCATTAGCCTCGAGCCTGCTGAATTTCTCACACACATCATAGCCAGTGTTGAGTTATTTCAACGTAAGGTTCTGTGAAGAGGTTTTTGATTGCTTACACCTGAGACCTCCCTAAACAAAAGACAAAAGAAAAACTATTTTACATAATTATTCCTCATAGCATATACATACTAACATGTAACTTTAGCCTGATAAATTCAAACATGCAGAGATTAAGACCAAAGCAAACATAAGCCCCTTTAATTACGTGACTGAAGTAGAATGTGTTTCACACGGACAGTAATGCAATGAACATTAAAGGAGTCACTATATTAAAACACTTCAGTAAGAATCAAAAACAGGTGGCAGAACACCTTTCATGTGACACATTATTGATTTTATTAAATGCTTTCAGAGTTGTAAATGGCTCAGCCATGTGAAATCTATATGTAGCATGGATAACATACGGACCAATTTTAGAACTTCAGATGTACTGGACCATTGAATGTATAATATTTGGGGTTCCTGAGATTTGAATCTGTTAACATAAGTTACAAGATTTGTTGACTCTCATCTGTTAGCACTGTTGAAATGGAAATTCCTACCACACATTTAAGCTGTTTTAACCTGAAAGTTCATAATGTATCAATTATCAAACAGAAACAGGTCCATTCGTCTAATATAACTAGTCAGAGGTGATTTTGGACAAGTGGCTAGAGACAAGTAAGGGAAAACAACTAGTTCCTCTATAGCTTTACTTGTCTCAGACCTGCAACCTTGTATGTGCCATTCTACAAAAGTACCATGTACAAGCCCAATACAATAACATTTACACCATACACAATACATCATTAACCAGATATTAAAAACATCATATTTGATTGATGCTCAAATGACAAAAACGTAAACCAAACCAGCTCAACATACTCAAAAACATCAGTCCTTTGCATAAGGCTGAAAGGCATGGCCAGTGGTTGAAAGAGATTTTCAAAAGACATAAGTTCATCCAGGATTAAAAAAAGCATGGGAATTCATTTTTCATTTAAAAAAACAAAACAGCATTTCTCATATCCAACGACTACATGAAACTGCAGAGTCAGCCAGACTTGTCATAATCCCCATCCCACGCCTAAATAGCAGCCTTTGAGTAGGTGTATATAGATCCCTGTAACACTCCAAGCTGTCACTACTAATACCTTAACTGCTGCGTTCAACTAGCATTTTGTCCATATAAACTGCGAGAGGCCAAGTGTATCAGCACATAGATGACAGTCTTGTGAACTCAATACTGGATAAACCGGTTGCATAATGTGTATTACCCAATTAACATAAGCTAGGCAGGTGATTGGCATGTTGCACAGTTGTAAATTGCAAAGAATTCAGATCAATTACTTTTACAATCACTGCCATGTCTGCTGTTATCACACCGCACACAAAACTTTGAGAGAGACTTAAGCACATTGTAACCAAAACTGTGTATGGAATGTCAGAAATTGAAAACAATCATAAGTGTCTTCTGAAGCATTCTTAATCATGATAAATATATGTAGATTCTAACTGTATATCCTTCAAAAATGAAACATACAACTTTATGGATAACACTGACAACTTCTTAGATTCTTTCACCATTATCAAGGCAAAAGTAACTACAACCAAGTGATGAGAAATATATATACATGGTACGTTATGACAAACAGCTGACTAACATTAACAACGGCATGTAATAGAATAACAAGTGGTACATTATTATGAGAGGCCAGTGGGAGGCTAAGAACTACAACTATGCTATCCCTAAAGTTGTATGCTTGTATGAAGAAAGTAATAGTTCATGTTTGTTTTTATATGGAATATTGTTAGATGGTATTTATGTCAAAATGAATAAATGTTGAAACTGAACTATGTTCTTCATGTTATTTTTATTTTGGGGTGGGAATTGTCCGGGTGGGAATTGTCCTGGGTGGGAATTGTCCTAGACCCCTTCATTTTGGACTCACCGACTTGTATTGTATATTATTCATATAGTAACATTTGGTATATGTATGAATGTGTGTGTATACATCTGTCTGGTTAAAATTAGCAATAACAAAAATAACACAACTGTGTAGCACAGTGTTTCGGAATTTACTTATATTCTTACCCTACAGTATATTCAAGAATGATTACAAATGATTTCATATGTCTAGTAATCACAGTAGTAAGCACCCTGCTCAAATAAGCACTGTGTACACATAAGCTCCTGCTAACCAATATTTGACACAATTTGTAAGTAATGCCCATAATCCCTCACACCCTTGTGAGCCTCCACATGACCGATCTATATTTTCTGGCCTATATTGCAGCATCTTTATACCAAGAAAGCTACACCATTTCTATTTTGTTTCACAGACATCAGAACAATGTCGCTTCTCTTCTACTGAATAAAACAATACCCTCGGTGACATTATTGTGGGGTCTGGCATATATTCAACTTCCAAGTCGTTGCTTAACGCCGAACTCAGCTATTTTCCAGCCATATGACGGCGGTCTGTGAATAATCTGGACCAGACAATCCAGTGATCAACAACATGAACATCGATTTATGCAATTGGGATATGATGACGTGTCAAACAAGTCAGCGAGCCTGACCACCCGATCCCGTTAGTCGCCTCTTACAAGCATGGGTTACTGAAGACCAATTCTAACCCGGATCTTCACGGGTTCAACTTCCACGAAGTCAGTTCAGCTGCATATGGCGAAACCCATTTTACACACACATTGCCTGTTGCTAGTTGTGTATTACACATGCATGGCCTAAACAACTGGTTGTGTTCAGGCAGATGGTTGGTTCATACAAGCATCCAAGCAGCATGACTCAAATGTTTTTCATTGTCAACATAGATAGACCTGCACTTTGTTGGCATATGACCGTGAATGATACGCGTAGGTGACCCTTCAATAATGATGGTGAGTATATATTTTAATATGTAATACAGCTAGGATGAGTAAAACTGTACTGCCTAGTTATGTAATGACTATTACTTTTATGAATCTAACCAGGCATCAACTCGAGGCCTTAAGATTTGGGTACGATTTGTAACTCATAAAGTTATATACCACAACCCTTGCAAAAATGGCTTAGACACATGTATACAACGATATGATCAGTTTAAACTGACTTGATGAGCAATAATTTTAAACAAACATATAAAGGAATGTGAGTATAGTCTTGAAGAAACATGAGCATTAGCAACTTGTAATGTACCCACAGAATATATTGTCATTGTAATTTAACAATATATCACATTACCAACCATGGGTCTAGGTATGCCTGTGGGCACCCACCAAGCTGAGATAACCATACCTGCCCTATTGTGATGGTTCAATAAGTGCCCCTATACCAATTTTTTTAATAGACAGAGGCACTCAAATAAGCCGATAAAGTTTCTTTGCCAATTTGGACATGGATATTTTTATTGAATAAATATGATTAAACCTATTTTTTTTATAATCACCATCATCCATGATTTTTTCATACATCAAATAAAGTACATTTTAAAGGCAAAGATATAAATTCTAACTAACATGACTTAACAGAATAACCTTGGGAACCTCTCATGGTTTCAATAATAAATGAAGCAATGAAAATGTTTAAAAAAAGCATAAACAAAATATTTTAGGCATCATCATGATCATATATCTCTGAGCAGAGGATATAGTGAACTTGTGAGCATTGTAACTATCATTATATTGACAAAGAAAATGTTCAAAATGAATAAGGGACACTGCTCAGTTGAAAATATTAAACACTTACAAGAAGAAAGTTTTAAAATGACAAAATTACCATAAGTAGGGCTTATTCATATATATTTTTCATGTTTTTAGAACATTATCAGATGGCAAAAAATAACAATGGTCAAACATATTACCATTTAGTCAGAATTCATCTTATGAAGATGTACAACAAACCCACCTTCAAAATGGAAATGTCTTAGTATCTCAAACATGCATCAGGAATAGACTATAAGAAACGTAACCTGATGTATCAGAAACTATTCTGGGTATTTGAACTTCATACAAAGTCGCGTTTCAATTGAAAAGATACGTAGTACGTGCCTGTATATATACACGTGCTCAGGAAGGAAATAAACAATGAAAGATACAACAGACACATGTCAGTTGTCAGTTGAACGTCAAGCCATCTGGTGTAAATGTCGGTTTCTGTTCGACCCAAATCTAACGTAAATATTTCAGCACAAGGGAATGCATATATACTAGGTAACGAAGAACCTGAAATATACTGCCTACAGAGAATCACTGCAGCTGAAATACTGCACGATCTTCAAAATACATAGCTGACATTCACAGATAAAAATGATTATGTGAACGAAGAGAGCACCAATTTACCGTTACCATTGAAAAATTCTGACCCCGATTACGCTTGAGTCGCGAATTCATTAGAACATATGGATTATGAAAGGTTTTACTTTCAAGGTGTGTACTTACAAGAGGGATATTATCAGTATTTCTTCTATAATTACATCACTATCATGTTATCAATTTCATTCACATATATTCGTCCGGATCCGCCATCTTCCTCAGCTTCAACACTTCCGGTCACGTGAGTACCCGGTGCCCTTTGTCAATGCTGCGCCTTTCATTCCCATAGACTGATACAACGTTGTAGATGTTCAAATGACGGAAGTATACATACTTGTCTACGTAATAACCCAGTAACTTTATAGTGAACATTGAACAGATCTTAGACATGAAATAGATCTGATCCGTAGGGTTTGTATATCAAGTGAGCTGTTTATTTAACCATACTGTATTACATATTTAAGATTTATGACACACGCTGTTCTATGATAATGCATACACACAAAATATGACAAGAATACTGTGTTTTCAAGTTAACAATATCACTTTATTTAAGCAAAATAAACATATCAAGTTCACACCCTTAAAAGAACAAACCATAAAAAAAATCATATTTCAATTTTTAAAAATAGCACGTTTCAGCAAAAGCATTCGTGTTAGGTATTTAAATGTGTAACATAATAATTGCAATACATTAATATTTTATTCACAAAAGTTTGAGGTTTTATTTTTTTTCTAAAACTGATAAGAAAAGAGAAACTACGTCAATAAAGAGTCAGTGATTGTAAAATGCAAGGGTATCAATAACAAAACTATGATCGCCTTAAAGGCACTCATTACAACATGCAAATAAATATGCAGGAGAAGTAAGATCAATATATAGATAAAAAATAGATTAAATCGCTTTAAAAATAAATAAATACTAATCCTTTCTATTAGTTTAGTATTGCGTGTCAGGTAAATGAAAATATGCTCTTAATTGCGCTTCATGTTTTTTCATTTTGTGTTTTCTCGGACGATGTTTTAATCAGAGTAACATGGGTCTCCTAATCTGTCATAGGTGAAAATCTACACATGCTACAAAGATTAGTCGTATAGACAGGTACGTTAATTTTAATTTTACCATCATCATCATCATCCTTTATTACATATATATGACCATGATGCCAACAGTACAACATGTGTAAAACAGTATGGTAAACACATGCATATGCGCCACACTGAGAATGTACATCTTATTACAATTGATACAATTATGTGTTCAGAGATTTTTGTTTCGATCGAAGTACTAACACTTTTTTTAAGAAAGATACAAAGACTTAAGAGTCTATTCTTATCGTTTGTTCTCGTCAATTCAATAAACATTTGGACATGAGGGTAATTACGACAGTATTCAGGTAAATATGTAGCACGATACTCATTATAAAGAGGACATACTAATGTAATATGGAATTCATCTTCTAGTTCAGTCACACAGGAACTACAAAACGCAGTTTCATAGTTTTTGGAGTATCTACACGAATTAACATTAAAATAATGTACATTACAACTAAGTTTTGTCAAACATCTCCGTTAATCTTTTGAAGTAATAGATACAAGATAGTTTTCAAGAAAAAAGTAAGTCTCTATGGTTGAATAGAACGTCAAGCATTCGGAAGAAGCTATATATTGATGCGTTAATTTTACCTTAACATACATGTGAATGTATTCAGACGATTAAGAGATATACGTATGAGTGAAAAAATAACACAATTTTACAGAATATTGTGTCAGCTTGGACAAAAGTTATTTTAATGCAAAACGAAAAGTTTTGAACTGATTTTTTCTCAATTGGGGAGGCCTAAATGACGCACTGTTGGAAGGGAGGTAATTGTAAGTCTGGTGCGAGAAGCGTATTAAAATATAAATCTGCCACTGGACGAATTCTGAAGCACGCCCGGTGTCATCACAAGTTCAAAAGAAGACGCTGTCGTGAATCGCTTTGCCTTTCCTGGTATCAATTAATTAATTATCACGATACAAATGTTACCACATTTGTTAAAGAAACATGATTACCGGTTTTGCAGTCTATCCCAAACTGCATATGACACGATAGAGGTCGAAAGGTTAGGTGAAGCCTAGTAAAATGATCCAGTCATGAGCTTATACCAAGCAACGATCGAACTGATGTTATAGCAAGGGTGGCCATGAGCTTATACCAACCAACGATCGAACTGATGTTATAGCGAGGGTGGCCATGAGCTTATACCAACCAACGATCGAACTGATGTTATAGCGAGGGTGGTTATGTGATGATACATTTTTATGTGTTGATATGTTTCAGGAACATGAATATCCAGTCTTATTGATCATCATCGGGGAGGTGGGGTAGCCTCGTGGTTAAAGCGTTTGCTCGTCACTCTGAAGACCCGGGTTCGATTCCCCACATGGGTGAACCCTCGGTATAGTGGTGTTAACGTTTGTACTTCATAGTGTTCAGTTTGGTTTATATCGTTTGAAATTTGTTGTTTATGGCAAATGTCGTTCAGTCTGACGTTGCCATATTTTCACTTTTATCAAAACCGATTCAACCATGACCCGGAAAACGAAAGCGGGCACATAATAGTTACCTTGTTTCGTACATCCACGCTCACATCCTTATCCATTGCATTCATTTGACACCTCTGACAATGTGTGTTTTACCTTTGTTCAATTCATATTTAGGTGGGGTAGCATTGTGGTTGAAGCGTCCGCTCGTCACGCTGAAGACCCGAGTTCGATTTCCCATATGGGTACATTGTTTGAAGCCCATTTCTGGTGTCCCACGCCGTGATATTGTTAAAAGCGGCGTAAAACTAAATCCACTCATTCACTATTGATCACTATTCTTCTTCTTCATCATCATCATCATCATCATCACCACCACCATCGCTCCACCATCATCACCTCCATAAGCATCATCATCTCACATATGTTGTAATTAATTATGCCTTTTTTAGAGTCAATATCACACACCTTAACCTTAAAAAGACGTTCTAAGGTTTGTGTTTCTAAAAAGGCCGCTCAAATGTAATAATTACAAACACTATGAACACAGGAAGTTACTTTGGCCTTAGTCAGTGGATACATTTGGCGTCATCAGTAGTGTGACGTAACCACAATTGGATGACGTCACGAATGTGCATGACGTCATATATTCCGTTTTTACAGACATGGCGGTGAAATGGAAAGGTCGGGGATTCAAGTAAAATTACAAACAAGTGGATATGACCTAGAAAATAGCAATGACTATCCAACCGATTCGTGCGTGTTGGCTGTGGTAACAGAGAACTGTCTCCAAGTGCTAGAAAATCAAGAAAGGGATCCAGTAAGTCTATCCCGATCTTCCATTAGCCTGAACCTGTCCGAAAGCGATTCGGAACTGCTCACTGACGAAATGGATAGACTAAACAAAACATATGGAAAACACAACACATTTGTTGTGTCTCCGATTCAGGACATACCCGTGAAGGACACAGGATTTGAATACACACCTCAAAGGAAAAGTGTGAGGGAAAAACCCAGGAGTCTCTCAGCCACATCACGAACCGCAGACCGTCTGCGTGTTGAGAAAAAGAAGCCAGCAATGCCACACATCCCGTCCTTGGATCTTGATCAAGTTAACATCCTATCCGAAACAAGACGCATTGCTGATCTTAACGAAAATCAGAATTCTGCTTTCGCATCTTTTTCAAACGAAAAAAGAAACAACGAAAACCAAAACTCAGCAAACGCTGAACAAGTTAGTCCGTCGGCCGCCAGCTCGAAAGAAAGACATGGCTCAAACGTTGCTGGCTGCCTTTTTAACATGTGGCAGTCCCAACGCATGTGCGATATAATATTGAAAGTCGACGGCCACGACTTTCCAGGACATAAGCTCGCTCTCGCAGCACATAGTCCAGGCTTTGCCAACAAATTCTGTGTCAACAAAAACACCGCTGACGTGGCCCACATACCCGTCCCTAACTGTTCCTTTGAAGCTGCTCAGGAGGTGATGCGATACGTCTACACATCTGAGATCGACATCACTCTGCAAAATGTAGATTCTGTTCTCTCTTGTGCCAAATATCTTGGCATCACAGATTTGCTGGAACAAGGCAAGCGGTTTCTGCTGAATCACTCTGTACAGGAGGCCCTGGGAGTGATGCAAATTGCCCGAAAACACGAACTGCTGGACATCTATTCGAACGTTTACGATTATGTGTGTCTCAATTTCAACAAAGTTACAAAAACAGACAGTTTTCTTCGCACAAGTCACTCAGACCTCTGCCATCTCCTGTCTGACGACAACCTCTGTGTACAAAAAGAACTGGATATCTTCTTTGCCGCCACCAGATGGCTGGACTACAACAGACAGGATCGTCAGCAGTATTTTCAAGATGTGGTAGGCTGCATCCGCTTTGCCTACATCACTCCTGAGGAGATGGTCTCTCACGTCGAACCTAGAGCCCTTCCTACTGAGGACTGCAAGGACCTCCTGATGGGTGTATTCAGGTATATATTTGCTCTAATGTTTTGCACCTCTGGATGATCGGTTACAACTTCTACTTCAACATGTTTAACTCAAACAAAACTAGGCTGCCCAATCGCAGGGAATCGCAGAATCCTTAAGCACGCTAGAAACACACGATCGTAGGTTCGATTCCATATGAATGATATGATGATGGTTTGTCAGGACCCTACCTGCACATCTGTTTCATAATCTAAATAATCTCTTGGGGCTTTTCACTTTTCAAGCTGATACCTCGTGATAGCAGGGAACGGCTTTAAGCCTCACTCACTCGAATATGTGTAATCTAAACTTGGTGATCGTGTACTTCGGCACCTGTTTGAGTGTAAAGTTCTTTTACTCGGCAATTTCATCTCAGCTACCTGTAAATAATCGCTGGTGGACCCTGGATCCTATTCAACCGCTTCCCGTGAAATAATTCAAGTACACTAAAGTACTAAACAAAAATGGCAATCCGTACCCTTTCTACAACCAGTAGCTATAACACATGCATAGGGACCTTGCAGTAGACCGCTCCCATCTCTTCATCACTAAAGTTGATGATGTTCATTTGTTTCCCCAAGGCTGCAGTTCTCATCTTTCCTTTCACAAATACATGTACATGTATATATATTTCTGTTCATTGTGCCTTTTCTAAATTGACCGATGTGTCTCGCACATTGTCAAGAAATAATGTTGTGGGTAGGTATTTTGGACTCAAGACTTCATGGAAGCCATCATTTTGTTTTTCCTGCAGCTGCGAGACTATACCAATTGTCAGTGTGTATGTAACGCAAATTTAGCATTATCCCTCCGACTGTTCTTTCTTGTATCACTTAAGATATCGCTGTGCGTGCGTGTGTCTTTGACCTGTGGTACTTGGTGCTGACAGACCAAGGGAATGCCATGTAAACAGAACATTACAAATATTACATACCTAGATGATCACAACCGTACTGTTCTTGAAGAACAGACATATCTAACAGGTTGATGTTTGTTACAAATCTTTAAAAAAAGAAACGCACAGGTGATTCTGAGAATATTGGACTCATGTAGCTACGGCAAAACAATACAAATATACTAGTTCTTTCCAAAACGTCATCTTAGCATGATTGTGAACAGGTTCATCGCCAAAACGCGACAACTTTCTCCCTTGTAAATGCACGTGCAAGTAAGCGGAAATCATCATGCAACGACTGAGTGCCGCCAATGGAAACATCGCCAAAGGCCGCTTTAAAGCTGGGGAGTTGTAGTCTGCAGTTGCCCGCCATTTCAACTTGCATCATGTGCAGAGCACCATATCTCGCCTTTGGGATGGTTTCCTGCAGACCAATTCCGCACAAGATCTCCCGAGAAGCGGCCGTCCAAGACTTACCACCCAAGTTCAGGACCCCTACATCTGGGTTGCTCACTTGCGTCATCGCCACGCCTTAGCCGTGGAGACTGCACAACGCATCAGTGGTTTGAGAAGAATTCCGACCAAACTGTCAGGAATCAATTAATCATATTTGTATAGCACATATCCACGCAACTAGTACATGCTCAAGGCGTTGTTTTTTCCATTGGATGTCAAACTCAACGTCACTTCGTATTATCAGTCTCAACTCTATGGGGAGCACACAACTTTTGCAGCCACTAGGCGCACGAGTCGAGGTACCTATTCCCAGCTGGGTGGACTGGGACACACAGTTGCAGTACTTTGTCCAAGTTTACTGCACGTTGCTGTACCCGCAACTAGATGTTTGCACGTATTCATGTGGCCACCATCTGGTCATTTAGCAACGGATTCGTTGGTTCTTTTAAGTGCACAGGGTTGTGTACTGTACACTAGGAGTTGTGACAACACTGAAAGAGTTTGTACACAAAGCTGACTCCAAGGTTTAAACACCCAGTCACAGGTGGGCTCGATCCCGGCACCTCAAGTTCGCTGGATCACAAGCCTGGCGCCTTATAGACAGCTCGCCATGCACCATGCCCACGATCGCGTGAAGTGGGGATTCGACCAAGAAGGCCAGTTGTCGCCCTTGTTTTTAGAGACTTCCATCGGCGCAGTCGCTTGCGGTGGTGTCGTAGAGTCCGGAACTGGAGCCTGAAGAACTGGAGGCATGTCTGGTTCAGTGATGAATCACGATTTCTTCTTAACCAGCGAGATGGAAGACAGCGTGTTTATCGTCGAAGAAAATTAATGCGCGATTTGCCCCTAATTCGACAGATCGACAGATTCGGTGGAAGACATTGCACCCTTGTGGGGAATCGGACGGAACTATTCGTCTTCTAGTTATTTTTTGCTTTAATATAGACAATCAAATACCAAATTCAGCATTGAAACTATGGCGTTCGCTGAAAAGCTAAATATTTCATTACATCCACGGACTGACATTAGATCTGTGTATCGTGGCTAAGTGGAGAGACGATACATCCCGATACCAGTTTAATGAGGCGAGACGATATATCCATTTGCCAATTCGATTGGCTACCCTACTAGATCTAAAGTACCAATCAGAATGCGAGTTTCAAACCAGCCTAAACGTTGGATTGGCAACACGGAGTAATCGGAAATACTGTTGTGGTTACAGATACCAGGCACTGAAGTATAGCGGAAGTCCCCTGACGTCATCAGAGCGGGTGCTCCCTGAACGTCAGTATCATCCACGAGACGGCGAGGTCAACAACAGCAAGCGCAAGTCGTGGGTAAAGTCCCGTTTTTCTGCTTTCATTGTGAAGAAACATGTTACTGAGCAAACATATTTGAACTATTTACATCACGGATAGGTTCTCGTTCAAAACCTTCCCATGTCCCGCAGTTTTATATCTGAAGATCAATACTAATACACATATTCTGGGTTATCCTCTTTATCTCCAGAGCTCGCATTTCTAGTCTGTAACCCCTGGGTGCCGTCGTTCAAACTGACATAACGCTAGGTGATCGTAAGTCCCTAAGCACAGACTAAGGTACCTGTGTGCCCTGGATACATGCATTCTATAGTAATCTCAAATTACCCGGCCTTGATTTCCATTTGCCAATTTGATTGGCTACGCTACTTGGTCTAAGGGCTAATTAGAAGTTGGGGTGGCAATATCAACGCCATTGTGGTCGGTGTCATTGATAACGATCAAATTTGCAATGAGCATAATTTTAAATAAAACTGACTGAAACGCGAATGAAAGCTCTCCCAAAACATTTCGATGGAAAGGTTGTCTTCATGTTCATTAAAACTGGCGGAGGGCTTAGCTCCCTGGATGCCGAGGGGTTTTTTCTGGCGCACATTTTCATATGGTTGGAAAAGTGAACGTTGTGCGAGAATTGCGCTTGCGTGGTCCTGGATCTGCGTACGGCTATGAAGTTACACAGAAATGTAGAATATTTAATTTCCTAGCCGGTGGCACACATTCAAGTGTAAATGTATGTCCCTGTGGCATCCAGGGGGTCAACAGGAACCAATTTTCTTGTCATAGTGGTCACCTATTAAAAAAATGTTTCCTATATTTGTGTCACCCTGTTTTAACCACAATCACTGATCCAGGACAGACACGTGAAATATGTTGTCCCACGACGCAAAGACCATGGTTAAAAGTGTTTATGAGTTTTTTCAGGAAGAAAGCTGAAAGGGGGTGTTCCCTTGTTATCAATGAAACAATTTACAAACAGGACGTCGACATTCATAGTAAATCTGACCCGAAGTCATGCACGTGAAACACATGCTTACGTCACCTGTCAGACATTACACCAATTAAACCCACGTCCGGAATGAGTTAATCAAAACAATCACAAAAACATAACGATAGTTATAGAGGTAACCATTTTTGATAGGCGATCACCGTGACATTAAAAGTAGGTTCCTGTTAAGTCACGGAGAAACATGAAGGTACATGTAAACACCGTTACACGGAAACGGATAACAAAAAAGATACTTGCAAAATATGCAGTTTCAAAAGTTAGGTTGACAGACTGTAGTTTCTAGGTGATGAGTTACCTCCCTTACTCTTCCCTTTTCCCTCAGGATGCAGAGTATGGCTAGTATTTAACTGGATGACAGTGCTGAGATACCTACGTGTTATATTATGACCTCAGATGCTATGTGACAGTCTACATAGATGGCCTCTTGTGTCGGAAAATGCATGATCCACGTGTGAGCTGAAGATCAATGTTGCTATGAACATGTACTTGGGGGGTGGGGGGTGGGGTTAGAGATCAGCGATCTTGTAAATTAAAATATTAAGATTTTATGCTTAAAAAGTATGGGAGGAATTGTCATTGAGTTTGCACTTTGTACATCAATTTTATTTTATTTAGTATATATATTTTTTTTGTTTTTTTGTTTGGGTGTTTTGTTGTTGTTGTTTTGTTTGTTGTTTTTTTTTTGGGGGGGGGGGGCAGTCATGCTGCTCCATAAAAATCATCATCCTCATCCAAACCGATCCATATACATAGTTGTCTCGCCCGCCAAGCATAAATTGTTGAAGATCTGTTTCAACCTTAACTTACTACCATTCTTCAGGGAGAATGTCGATAAAATGGGTCTCCTTGTCTCAAAGGGGAATTAATCTGCTGATGAAGCACACTTCTCAATAAAAACATTGTATTGGGAAAGATAGAGGAATAATACTGAAAGTAAGCTTCCTTATATCCTACCTCTACTGGGTGCCATTAGTACAAAGCAACCGTAGCGCTACGCCAGTCGTGTCTATGTAGTCTATAAGTCTGTGAGTTACGATCACCTTAGTGCTAAGGTTGCTTTGGACAACGGCACCCTGGTAGCACAGGGGTGATGGGTTAGCCTAGCGGTTTAAGCGTTCGCTCGTGGCGCGGAAGCCCGGGTTTGATTCCTAACAGGGGTACAATGTGTGAAGCCATTCTGGTGTCCCCCGCCGTGATATCGCGGGAATACGGCTAAAAGAAGCGTAAAACCCGACTCATTCACTATTGGTAACACAGGAAGATGAATTATGCCAATATATTTCTTCCGTGATGTGTGTAGTTGCCCTTGTTCACAATGCGTTATTTTTAAGATTTAGGGGTTCTTAGTTCCAGACCATCCCCACGAAAGAAGACCCGAAAACCGTCACTACAAGCTTCACGAGGGCTCACTGTTACGTTCCAACTCCACTCGTAGCGCTGAACTCAAAAGCCAGCGCCCACAACCAGAGCCTCCCTCCCCGCCCCCCGCTGATGATAGCCAGTGGAGGGATCGACCCCTTCCGGTCCATGGACGGAGATGCACCCTGTCGGCTTGTGGAAGAGTACAACCCCTATACCAACACCTGGGGCTTGCTGACTCGACTTCCGGATGCAAGGCACCATCACGGGTCGGCGGTATTGGACGACCAGGTCTACATCATCGGTGAGTCGAAGGAGCCAAGACATGATGTAAATTTATTGTTTATTTGTTATTTAACGCCGCACTTAGAAGCATCCCAACTATATGGCGGAGGTCTGTAAATAAAATCTAGTTTGGACCAGACAATCCACTGATCGACTGATCAACATCAGCATTTGGGATACGATGACATGTGTCAACCAAATCAGCAAGCCTGTCCACCCGATCTCGTTAGTCGTCTCTTACGACAAGCATGGGTTGCTGAAGACCAATTCTGTGTATAATATGTAACAAACATGAAGATAAAGATGAGGCAACTGTCTTTCTTGAATCCTGGACAACTGGGTATATTTTTCAGAAAGTATTTGTTTGAACGGGAATGGGCGTATTACGCCGAATTCCGCGAAACAATGGTAGCGCTACGGTGAGCGTAACTCCTATAATATACACTACGAGTGACGTAGCCGTACGATCACTTTGTGGAACGGGCCCCAGGGCCCCGTTTCACAAAGCTTTCGTAAGCCTAAGATGTGTAAGCCTATTTTGTAACAAAGGAGGTACGAATGCTACGAGAAAAGTTACGAGATCTTAGGCTTACGAGAGCTTTGTCGACCGAACCCCAGCATGGTACAGTGTGAGAAGCAAGTTCTGTGTAATCTGGATCCACTTGCACAAAGCGAGTAAGCCTATGTGTCAGTATAGAAGTTTCGACCACCTTGGCAAAAAGAATGAAAAAACTCGCAGCTACCAAGACGAGGACCTTAACATCGTTTTGTGCATATGGACCTCGGTGTATTGCCGAATGCGGCGCTAATCCCCACCTCATTCCTTCACTATGTGTACTAAACTAACATGTTGCTCTGAATTGTAATATGCTTTGCTAAAAGACCAAAGGCGCCCTTGTTATCAAACGTACCCATGGTAACTGACGTCACGATGCATGTCAGTTGTCATCGCTTCCTACAAGTAAACTAATCCGTAGCACCCCTTTTTCTTGGTTTGCATTTGCTTCACTCGGCAAACATCACTGGTGGAAACATTGCGTTTATGTTTTTCGACGAATAAGATGTCTCAATTCGAGAGTTCGCTTTCGCTGGTTAGATACTAAACCCGTTTCATAAATATGGTATTACACGGGACATTGTTTAGTATTCTCTGTTTATCTTGTATCGATAATATACAATTATAGACTCTTGTAGAGGTCGATATCGGTTTTTATTGACCTGAGTAAAACAATATCGACCGAGCTTGCAAGGTCGATATTGTTTTTCTCAGGTCAATAAAAACCGATATCGACCTCTACAAGAGTCTATAATTGTTTTATTATATCATGAAAGAGAAACGGGTTTTAACATAAACTTTTAATGCACACACTGTGCCATCTATCCGAGTGATCTGATTGGCTGAAAAGCAGGGGAAGCCCCCTTCGTACGGGATTCCTTGTCTATTTTTAGTAACCCAAGTCAATATCGTAATTTATCAGAAAACTCAAGTCAATATCGTGTTTTGTAGTCAATCATGTGACGGTCTTTTGACCAATCGTGGTACAGGAAAAATACTACCTATATAATAAATGGCCTTATTATTCACGCACACCGCTGTATTGCTATTGTGACGTAAGGTTGGAATGACGTCACACTAGAAACGAGTCAGCATGAAGTTATTGACGTCATTCGACAAATGTAGTTTTTAAGACGGGCATGATCGGTGCACTTTGTGAACATCGCAAAAGGTGTAAGAAATTGTGGGTTATACAGAAATGAACCTCTTTGATAATTCAGCGCTTGACCATCAAAGCAAGTCAAAACATTGATTTCACACCAGTCTCGTCTCCTGCTGACTGGGTTCCGCCATTTGCGCAACTTAGTACAAAACCAGTCCAGAATTTTGAGACCAACTCATTCAACTGGATATATACTGAAAGGCAAAAGAAACGTCGTATTACTAGAAATGACATTTGAGTATCAATGGAGTATTTGAACCTATTTTTTTAAATATACACCAGAAGTCAAGTTTGAGGAAACATGAATCGTGGTCGTATAGCCCGCATTGCCCAATAAAGTATTGTTTGAGATTGAAGTTAGAAATGTGTTTGTTTTTTGGAGAGGGAAAAGTTCCCACAAACACAACATTGAAATCGAGATGCACGTGCATCATAAATGCATTCAGGCATAAATTGCCGGCTTGAATGGCAATCGTTCACTTGTTTTCTGAACACAGCAGCTATGACTAGGTTAACGAGAGATCAACCACAACAAGCTATTGGACGTCTGCACGCTGGTCAACATGCTCGAGTCATTGCTAATGACTTCAGTTGCAGCGTACGAACGATAGAACGTCTTAGAGTGCGATACAACGCCACCAGCAGCACTGATGACCGTCCACGTAGTGGTCAACCCCGTGTAACAACACGTCGCCAGGACCGTCATATCGTCCATCAACACGTGCAAGACCTATTCGCAAGGGCCAGAGAAACAGCTTGGGTGACCATAGGAAACCACCAGCGACCAGTCAGTGACCTACCATTCGGCGACGTCTCCAAGCCAGGAACCTGTTTTTTGTCGATGTCCTGCCAGGAGACCAATATTCACAGCCAACGTCACCGCCTGGGAACGTATCAGTGGCAAGTGGACACAACAGCGGCAAAACTGTCTTGTATATTGGGGACAATGGAGAGGGGTTATCATGCTCTCTGATGAAAGTCGGTACTGCATTTCAGTGGCGTACGTTATACATTCAAAGAGCGCAAAAAAATAGGTTCAAATGTTCCATTGATACTTAAATGTCACCTCGCCAATATTACGACATTTCTTTTGCCTTTCAGTATATTTATTTTCACTTTCACACGAGAACATTCGGATCGGCTGAAAAGTAGGTCATTGTCTGAATAGGTTAATGAGACTCATGTTTCGGTTTGTCTCCACATTATACGAATTGTTAAAATATTATTCTATTCATCTGCCATTGTTATTTTGAAGATGTGACAGTGGGGTTTAATTTTTGTGTTAATAATGCCGGGCTTTTTTAGCATGTACCTACAATTAAGGACCCACACTTTATACTGAAAATGCTATCGTTATATTATTTTTATCGAATGCAATAAACTGTGCATAAAGTCAAGAATTCAATGTCCCTTTTGTATGATTTCATTTATAGCAGAGTGCAATAGTTTCTTTTATTTCCAGGTGGGTCGTTGGTTGAGTGTAGCGACCCCGGGGATCTGGCTAACCCTACCAACATCTGCTACCGATATGACCCACATGGAAACTTCTGGACACGAGTGGCATCAATGTACCACATGAGGATGTACCACGCAGTTGCCGTTCTTGGCGGAGTTCTGTATGCCATTGGTGGGCAGAATGAATTTGGGGAGTATGTGTGATTTTACTTTAAACATAGTCTAATTTAAGTCTGAAGTCAATAAGTTTAAGTATAAAGGCTAGGGCAACTTAAATTTAGGCTCAAACGATATAAGATCCCACATGCCAGATTGCTTTGCAACATGTCATCTCGTTTTGATATTTGCATATTAAAGGCAATGGGGACACACGATTGGCCAAATGACATTTCTTGTTCTTTGCCTACAAAATGTTAACATTTCATAAAATAGGTACAAACAGATTCAGTAACTCTTCCAGGTGAGCTATTCAGCTTGTAGTTGTTTTTTAATAAGATTTTTATGAATGATATTCGTAGCTAGCAATTCGAGTGAGGAGTTTAAAATAGTGTCTTGGGTGTTGGTGCTTAACTTCGTAAACCAATTGATCTTGACCCAGGAGTTTACCATTTGTGGAATTCTACAACCCTGACACCGACACGTGGGGCGAGGCGTGCGCCATGACGGAAGCAAAGATAGGAGCGGCCGCGGCAGGACATCGTGGGCTGGTCTACGTCGTCGGAGGCTTCTTGGAAACCGAGGATGAGAAAGTTGTACTCGGCACAGTAGAATGTTACGATCCGAGGAAAAATAGGTAGGTACCCATGTGACTTCAGATTAGGTTGGGTGAGTGAGTGAGTTGGGTTTTACGCCGGTTTTAGAAATGGGCTTCAGATATTGTACCCATGTGGGGAATCGAACCCGGTCCATCAGTGTGACGGCTACCCAACATCGGATTCAGAGATGTGTAGACACAACCTTTAGGTTGTTAGTGTTAAAGCTGAAAACCACAAGGCCTTAACATGGGTGATCTTTTTCCTTTCATCTCCGATTTACTAACCCGATAGGCTTGCTTACCATGCCGATCCAACCTCAAACTGATATAATTTCAAAACGATCCTTTGAAACACAGATATCACGCATTGTTACATTGTTTGTGAAGAGAATCATGGCGGGTCCTAGATGACGTAAGCAATTGACTAGTACTTTTCGGAACATTAAAGTCACGTGGCTTCAACTGACAAATTAGCACGGAGAAGCACAAAGGTGCACATCCGTGAAGATCCAGGTTAGAATTGGTCTTCAGCAACCCATGCTTGTCGTAAGAGGCAACTAACGGGATCAGATGGTCAGACTCGCTGACATGGTTGACGCATGTCATCGTATTTCAATTGTGTAGATCGATGCTTAGGGTGTTGATCACTGGATTGTGTGGTCAATACTCGATTATTTACAGACCGCCTCCATACAGCTGGAATATTGCTGTGTGCGGCGTTAAACAACAAACAAACAAAGCTAAGGTGCACATTGTATCTTTATGGGAAGTATATCCCGTATATTCCTCTACCACGCTGAATTATTCTCCACTGTTAAGCCTATACTGTTCTTCTTTGTCTCAAAAACATCCACAAAATACGTATATACGAATCACCGATTCGTTTGCTTCATCCACCTAGATAACTTTCATATGTCTCTTATGTTACAAAATTACTGTCAATAGAAACATCCAAGTAATACTCTGATAAAAGTTTATCGAGGTTTCATTCGACTTTATTTCACAATTCGACTTTTTGATCCTCTTCGACAGGTGGTTGTGCAAGAACCCACTTCCGGGTCCCCGATGCCACGCCGGTCTCGTGGAGGTCAAGGGCACGTTGTTCCTAGTGGGTGGATCAACCTTCTACGATGATAGTGACGCCATCACCAGCCTCGACGCCATTCTTCGTCTTGACGACGACCACGACCGCTGGGATCGTGTGCAGACACTCAGGGTGCCCCGACACGACGCCGGTGTTACTACGATCGGTAAGTGCTCCATCCTGACTGAATTTTGTTTTACGCCGAACCATTATTCCAGCCATATGACGCCGGCATTTGTTTTAACAAACAAAGGTTATGCAGATCAGTTGCTGATGATCAAGCACTACGTATAATTTCACCACACGACACATTTAAGTCGGTTCTTGACATTTTATCGATTATATAAAATTAACACGGCTGATCCCTGGCCCCGATTTCTCGAAACAAAGTTTTGAGTTTTTACTCAAATTTCAAACTGAGTTTGATAATTTGAAACCGATGAATTTTTAACTCAAATGCATTTAAAAAAAAATAAAAATGCCCAAACAACTTAAATAATTTATCCACCTAACTCAAATTGTCTACTATTTCTGAGTTTAATATCAATTTCGGTTCATTGTGGGAAATGCATTTTCCTGCGTTTTCTCAAATTTGAGTAAAAACTCTAACTTAAGTCAAAAGTCAGACTTAAGTTGGTTTCGAGAAAGAGGCGCCATCCGTGATCGAGCAGTCAGTCTGGTGACGTGTCTCGACAGCTGCTCATGACACGAACCACTAGCTGTCTGGTCCAAACTCAGGCCGACTGCATATTTACAGGCCTTTGTAATATTGCGGGAATATTTCAAAATGCGATTCAAATTACAAACACACAATCATAAACACACCAAGACCTTGGCTGCGGTTGCTTTGTGTTAGTGACTATGAACCTGGTTCGTCAAAGCGATCTTCCAGTCTTCCACGATTGTCATAATTCAGCATTTCAGTATGATGCAACCACCTCAGCGCTGATATTGCTTTACCTAACAAGGCCCTTATACTCATCGGCTCTAATATTCATCGGCTCTAATACACATCGGCTCTAATGGACCCGTGAAGGTCCGGGTTAGAATGAACCTTCAGTAACCTATGTTTGTCGTAAGAGGCGACTAACAGGATCGGGTGGTCAGACTCGCTGACTTGGTTGACTCATGTCATCGTATCCCAATTGCACAGATCGATGCTCATGCTGTTGATCACTGGGTTGACTGGTCCAGACTCGATTATTTACAGACCGCCGCCATATAGCTGGAATATTGCTGAGTGCGGCGTAAAACTAAACTCACTCACTCATTCGGCTCCAATGGGTACTCAGCTCATATTCATCACCCGAAAAAATAAAACGATGGGATTTTTTCTGATTATGGACGATGCTATTGACGCCAATCACTGGACTGTTTGGTCGAATATTTCCAGACCGTCGTCATATACCTGGAATATTATTTAGGGCGATAAAAACAACATGCAAGCAAACAAACAAATGTATCTTACAAGAAAAAAACAATACCTGTCTAAAATGTATTTTACTTCACTGCAATAATAGTAGCATAGTCATTTTGAAACTAGATTTGTATAACCATTGTAAGGGACTTGCCGACCCGATATTGGAATGCAAAGGAAAGAATATTCTTTGCTCTGAAACCTTGCTAATTCGAATGGTACCTTACCAAATGAAATCGTCCTGAGTAAAGTGAGTGTGAGTGAGTTTAGTTTTACGCCGCACTCAGTAATATTCCAGCCATATGGCGGCTGTCTGTACATAATCCAGTCTGGACCAGACAATCTAGTGATCAACAGCATGTGCATAGATCTACGCAATTGGGATACGATTACATGTGGGTCAACCAAGTCAGCGAGCCTGACCACCCGATCCCGTTAGTCGCCTCTTACAACAAACGTGAGTTACTGAAGACCAATTCTAACCCGGATCTTCACGGGTCTAGTTCGGATTAAAGAGAGTCCTGATAAACGAAGGACTGAAGGGCGATGACTACCGAATTAAAGGGTCGAGACTAACGGCGTTTACCCTATAGGTAACCAATATTCTACATCCCTCAAATCAACAAAATAGCCTTGAAGTCGTATATCTGAAGTTAATTTATGCCCTATACTCTGTAACCCTTGACAACATCGATCCAAGTCAAACCGAAAGGATGTACATATTGCGCAATGTGTGTTTGTTTAAAGACAGACATCCACAAGGCCAACTGTCCAGAAAGAGGGTCATATGAACGGTTGCATAAGCTTTTTTTCTGAATTTAGATATGATCTCAGCGTGGCATTCCAAACTGGATAATCCATGTAAAATTCAATACAAGCAGATGTTTACTGTTGGTCATGTGACGGTGAAAGTAAATATTTGTGTTGCCTAGACCGTGCCGATTATACGAACATGAGTGCACTGCTAGACTGGAGGCAGTCCCGTTTGCTGTATTAATTAAAAACATTGTATTCAATTGTATCGATAACGTGAAACTTTAAATGCATGAAAATGCCAAAAAGTATGCTATGAATAACGGTTGCTATCAAGATCATTGCATATATACAGAGACGTGCGTGCGTGCGTGCGTGTGCGTGCGTGTGTGTGTGTGTGGCTTGCTCTTGTCCAGACATGATGCGATTTCTAGTGCTATCCCAATGATACACCATACAGTTAATATGTAATGCCCACTCATACACAGTTAACTAACTGTAATTTAATGTTCCAACCATGGCAAGCAGTAGTCTGGACAACCGACTGTCAGCCCGCCGGTCAGACACACCATCCAGTGGGCCACGGCGACTGTCTGTTTGGTATGAGTGAGTGAGTGAGTTTAGTTATACGCCGCTCTCAGCAATATATGTCGGCAGCTATATGGCGGCGGTCTGTAAATAATCGAGTCTGGACCAGACAATCCAGTGATCAACAGCATGAGCATCGATCTGCGCATTTGGGAACCGATGACATGTGTCAACCATGTCAGCGAGTCTGACCACCTGATCCCGTTAGTTGCCTCTTACGACAAGCATGGGTTGCTGAAGATCAATATTCTAGCCCGGACCTTCACGGGTCTGTTTGGTATGAAGGGAGTGTTATGAAATGAACACAGTCATATATCACGTTAGGATATGACGTGCCGAAATCGTACACCATAGTGTCCTGAAATAATGTTAGTATTCATCCAATTTAAAGATAACCTAACTTATATATCCTCTTTTATTTCATCCATTAGCAAGACCCAGAGACACTTTGGTACTATGTGTGAAGCCCGTTTCTGGTGTCCCCCCGCCGTGATATTGCTGGAATATTTTCTAAAACCAGCGTAAAACTAATCTCACTCACTCACCTATTAGCAGAAAATAAGTGAGTGAGTGTGGGAATTTACTTTTACGCCGCTCTCAGCAATATTCCATCTATATGGCGGCGGTCTGTAAATAATCGAGTCTGGACCAGTAAATCCAGGGATCAACAGCATGAGCATCGACCTGCGCTATTGGGAACTGATGACATGTGTCAACCAAGTCAGCGAGCCTGACCATCCGATCCCGTAAGTCGCCTCTTACGACAAGCATAGGTTACTGAAGATCAATTCTAACCCGGACCTTCACGGGTCGGCAGAAAATAAATGGTCGGACCTACATAGTTCACAGAGGTATTTACATACATGTATATCATAATAATAATCATCGGCGTCGTCATTAACATTATAAACGGGAAAACGTTCAAGTCTACACAGTTTTTACAGTAGGGCATGACATTGAAGTTTCTCCCCCCAAGTTTTTAATCAGGCATCAACATGCTAGTGTTTATGTTAAGATAGCATGACCAGCCATCACATGGTCTTGACATATGTACACTCACTGATACCGTGGATATTAACGTCCACAATGTCACAGTCATGGTATCTTGGGTCATTTCGTGTGACGCTGCTAGGATTGGTAAACATCGTTATGCAATCTGTCAGCCCATTTGTGTCTGCACATATCTTGATTAGAAACCCCAGCCGTCTCAAGGTTACAAGATAAGCGTATTGTGAATCATGGTCAATGTCCTCTAAGACCAGATTTCGAAATTTTCACTTTAAACATATATCATTGTGATGGCGTTTGCCATCTGAAGGATGTGCATTATCAGTTGTCTGTAACCAAGGAAACGCCGTGGATATATCATAGTATTGCCTGAGTGAGTGAGTGTTGCTTTACGCCGCTTTTAGCAATATTCCAACAATGGGCTTCACACTGTGCCCATGTGGGAAATCGAACTCTGCTCTTCGGCGTGACTAGGCAACCCCACCGCCCCTGTATTGGCTGAGTTTTACATCCAAACTGTGACGTCAGATCAGGGTGCCGTTCCACTAACCGATCTTAACGTATATCAATCTTAGCAAGTTACGCCACTTTTACAATCGCCTTAGCTAAAAGTTACACCCGTTCCACTAACCGATCTTAGGCCGATCGCAGCCGGTCCCGATCTTACGATCCGATCTAAGCTTAGATCGAGACTCTTTCGTACGAGAGATAGGAAAATGCGAGGCACGAGTTATCTCCATTTGCATAGTCTAGCGGACGATGGAAGTAGGTTTGGAACCAAGTGAAAAACATGGAGAAAAAACCTCGAGAAAAAATATTAGGGTAGTGAGCACCTTGGTTTCAGGTGCAAGTGCGTGTGAACGCCTCTACCTCACCACAAGCACATCATCTGATAGCGTATCTAGAATCTGTCAGTGGTCTTGAAAAACACGCGGCCTGCCTTAAAATTCAGAATCCCCTACCAAATAAGCACAGTGAAATCAAACATATTTGTATCCTTTTGTTTCAGAACATTATTCACTTCACGACCCGTCCCTATTCTTAACCATGACGTGCAATATTGTTGTTCTCTATTTAGAAGATAAAGCTACTGTTTTCAATTTTGCGGTCCTTTATCGTTGATTTAAGACCGCTAAATGTAATTTAAAAACCAAACGCGTTAGCGTGAGGTTTTAATTAAACATTTATCACAGATTGAAAACAGAATAGCTTTATCTTCATTCTAGCACGACTGATAAGCATTTTAAAACCGAACTGTTTGGCGCGCAAGAACACAAGGCGCAAAGGGGCCTTTTTCCTGGAAATCGCTTGGGGGACAAGTTGTGTAATGAACAAAATAAGACATTTTCAGCAACATAAATGCTATATTTCAGGAACCAGTATGCTTGTATTTGTAACAA